TCATTGGCTGAGTTTTTTTTCTTATGTGATAGTTATGCATGGAATTTGTTATACTTGTAGGCCTACTGGTACAATACTTATACTGGCGAGTTATAATCATGCATATCCATAGCAAAACCAGAATTTGTTGTACTTGCAGTCATATTACAGAAGTACAGAATACATAAGAGTTCAACTCCCCCATCCCCCCCCCCACCTCACACATCTGGAATGTAGCTAAAGTGTCTATAGGGAAACTGCTTTAAATTTGGAATAGTAACCCGGGACCCTGAAGTGAAACACTTAAAACTCAGACAAAAATGAAGGAAACCAAAAATGCAGCGCTTTTATATTTCTTCACTTTTTATTAAAACTCTCGCTTTCAAGTTCAGGTTTAGCAGGTATTATATAACCGACATACAGATCCTTGTCATTTGATTGGTGGAACTCACATCACGTGACATTCGTTATTGCTCCAAATTTCACGCCGCGGCTCAAAAAGTACTATCCGCCCATGGGGAATGGGAAATACTATTGAACAGTTAGGATCACGACGTGGTATTTGTGTGCAAATGCATGCTGGTGTGCGCGTTAAGCGTTGCGCGTAGCGCGTATTGTTCCAAAGAGCCAGCGCTACAGCGTTGGGTTCAAACATTTTTGTGAAGGAGTGGTTTGGAAGAGAGAAATACATTTTCCTCCAGTTTTGTATTGAAATAATAGTTCATATATATCAAATGACAAGGATCTATATGTCAGTTAATCAAAACAAATATTGAGTAGCTTCTGATTGTGACATAGGAAGAATATTATCGCTCGGTAAAATCTTGACTTTTCCAGTTCACTCGGCTTCGCCTCGTGAAATGGAAAAGTTCAGATTTTACCTTGCGATAATATTCCTCCCATTCCACGCTGAGCCACTCAATATTTGTATACTATCTTACAAATCTCTGCCAACCAATTCTACTGTGTTTTTCTTGGATTTCTGTTGCAGTCGATTATTTGCAACTTGTCCTTATCACGTCAGGTTCTGCTCACTTCATTGAGCGGTTCAAAATTTAAGTCCCTAAAGCTCCAACAAGTTCAAATTCAATTCCTTTCTGTTATAGATTTTTGGATATTACACAATTCAATCAAATGTTTTTACAATAAAAAGAAGTCTTAAGAATTCACAACCCAAATTAGTCATGTGACGACTCAGATTGAGCTCCTTTCTACGAGGTTCAACGGGGTTCTGATTCTCTGCTTTAGTGACTTTAGACCCTTCTTGTCCACAAGGTAGACTTGGCCTCCAGTTGGAGTAACGTTAAGCCCAGGTCACACATTCACGGTTTGGAGCTACAGATATCCACAGTTAAAAATTTGTGATAAACCGTGGGAGTACCGTATTCGTCCTTAGTACATCCGTGGTTATCCGTCATCTTCCTTGGGTATTAGTGGAGAGGCTACAGAAGTTTTAAACTGTTCAAAACTTCCGTGGTGAATCATCGTGAAAATCAATCCATAGTGCAACCGTGGGACATCTGTAGGATAACCGTACTAATTTGTAGTGTTATTCGTGGCTATTCGTACATATTCTTGGAGATTCGTAGCTCTCTTGTGGTAGAAATCTCTACGAATTTGCTACAAATGTCCTATGGATATGCCCGGATATGCTAGGATTCTGCTAAGGTTGTACTACGAATATGCTTTATTCATAGGGAGAACCTTGGTCATCCGTGACCCAATCGCAGACAACTGTGACGTTAATGTCATTATTGTTAGCAATACCATCCATATTCTTCAACAATCCGCCCATATATTATTCTTGACAAACCGTACTCGTAGAGAAACCGTAGGACTGTCATGACTATCCGTCCCGGAACCGTGCATTCTTAGAAAGTCAATTTGTCCACGTATCTCGACGGTTCATCGTGATCGATTGATTCTTGGTAAACCGTGGATATTCGTAGAACCGTGAATGTGTGACTGGGGCTTTAGAGCCAATTGGGGATAATGAGGAATTACGTATACATGTACCAAGCAGCCACGTTTAATGAACAAATTATCCAAAACCTTTTGAGTCTTCTCGCATTTATCTTATAACATTATAGTGCCTAAACCAAAGCAACAAGTAAATTTGCTAAATTTCTCATTAACACTGGAAATGTACCTGCTATATCCTTTAAACTAGGATTTAATTTAACAACAATCTTCGAGAGAATTTACATCCACATTTGTTACACTGGAACTATAACACTTCAATTTCATTCGTCAAAATTACTTCACTCTCAATTTGTTCAATATTTCGTTCATCTTAGCTTCTAGTTTTTGCAACTTCTCAGTTTCAATCAAAATTACTTTGAGACTTGAGATTAGTATAAATATAATAATCAAAGTTATAACGATAAATCAGCTGATAAACCTCAATTTTCCATGAACAAATCCTTGACGGTTATTTGAGACCGGTACCTGGGGAGGCAGAGTGTTGCTGGCGTATACAATCAGGACATCGATTGGAGTTTGGCCTGTGTTTTCCACCAAAGGTGTCAATCGCTTTTCATGACGGTGGGGGGTACATTCGTTGATTGGAACTATTGTGAGCACGAAGCCCTAACGTCATTGGGTCCGGGGGCTGCTTAAGGCCTGAACATTTTTTGAGTCTAGACACTCTGTGATGCAATCTGAGGCAATTTCTGACCACTTTAATCATTTTTTTTTAAGCAAAATATCATAATTTAAACATAATTTTTGAGTTCGGTGAAATTGAATCAGCTATTCTGAGCAATAGAATCCTATGTAGGCTACATATTTTTTGGAGGGGGTAGGTAGTTCCCTACCTACCCTAATCTGACAGCCCCTACCCTTATTTTGTTATGGGAAAAAATGAGGAAAAAAAAACACTCAGAACCATCAATGTTTAGCTTTTACCCTTGACTACACGCAGACGCCTCCATATGATCGTACTCACAAAAAAGTTTGCAAAAAATAACAATTCCCTAACTACCTACCCTATTTTCAAATGCCATGTAATCGGAAGCAGAACTAAATTTTTTTGGCTTAAGCATATAAATTATATATATAAAATACACGTAAGTGTGTTTTTTCCTTGTGGTGTGCCCCCTAGTTTGTACTGTGCCCCTCCCCTAATGCCCGGAGCTTGCAACGGTGCTGCCTCTCAAGGAATTAAAAATCTGGTCTCATCTCTCACTCTCAAATTTCTGGCATAGCCCTAGAATATGAAGCCCGGAAAGGGACAGGGTGGAAATGTTTTTTGTAATACGTGTGCTAATTCGTTCGCACGAATTGCTTATTCGTTTCCACGAATTACTAATTTGTGGGAACGAATTGCTAACTCGTTTGCACGAATAGCAATTTCGTTCGCACGAATTGCTATTTCGTGCGCACGAATTGCTCACTCGTTCGCACGAATTGCAAACTCGTTCGCACAAATAGCAATTTCGTTCGCACGATTTGCTATTTCGTTCCCACGAATTGCTTAATCGTTCGCACGAATTGCTATTTCGTTCCCACGAATTACTAATTTGTGGGAACGAATTGCTAACTCGTTCGCACGAATTGCTACCGGTAACTCATTCGCACGAATTGTTAACTCATTCGCACGAATAGCTATTTCGTTCGCACGAATGCTATTTCGTTCCCACAAATTGCTCAATCGTTCGCAGGAATTGCTATTTCGTACCCACGAATTACTAATTTGTGGGAACGAATTGCTAACTTGTTCGCACGAATTGCTAACTCGAACGAGTTAGCAATTCGTGGGAACGAAATAGCAATTCGTGCGAACAAAATAGCAATTGGCGCGAACGAGTTAACGATTAATGCGAACGAATTAGCAATTCGTGCGATTCGTGTCCCTTTCCGGGCTTCGTACTAGAACACCTTTTGGTCTGCCAGCAAAGTTTCTTTTCTTATGAAAACAAGGTGGTTTTGTGTAATCAATGTGCGCTTTTCCAAACGATAACCATGGCTGGTGTCAAAGGGCTTGTGTTTCTCGTTCGCGGACACGCCTAAAAATATGTATGGCGGCAGGGAGTCTACACGGGAGTAGGAATATCGGTGATTGGATGAAATCTTTTGGACGGTTCTATGTTCGCGGGGTGACAAAACACAGGTTTTAAATGAATAATTAAAAAACGAGACCTGCCAAAGAAAAAAGACACAATATATTTTTATGTAGTAAGTATACTGATTGGCTCATAATTATACTTTGATGCATTTTTAGAGAATTGTTGACTGAATCAACGGGCAAAATAATGTGATATATCGTAGTACATGCTGGAATAATTCCCTGTAGGCCTATACATGTACTTTTTTGTACAAGGCTTCTTTATGAATGATGGATATATGGTATACAAATATTGAGTGGCTCAGAATGAAATGGAAGGAATATTATCACAAGGTAAAATCTGGACTTTTCTGTTTCACGAGGTGAACCCGAGTGAACTGGAAAAGTCCTGATTTCACTGAGCGATAATATTCCTCCCATTTCACAATTTAAAGCCACTCAATATTTGTTTTATAACTGACATATAGATCCTTGTCATTTGATATTTGAACTTTTATTTCAATACAAAATTGGTGGAAAATTTATTTCTCTCTCCCAAACCACCCCTTCACGAAAATATTTGAACCCAACTCTGTAGCGCTGGCTCAATTGGAACAATACGCGCTACGCGCAACGCTGAACGCGCACACCAGCATGCATTTGCACACAAATACCGCGCTGTGGAACAAGAATGATCCGAACTGTTCAATAGTATTTCCCATTCCCCATGGGCGATTGGGACTTTTTGAGCCCCGACGTGAATGGGAGCAATAACGAATGTCATGTGATATGAGTTCCACCAATCAAATGACAAGGATCTGTATGTCGGATATATAACAGAAATTAACATCTCAAAGAATGGAGCTGTGCTAGATACATTTCATGCTAATTCAGACATCTAGGGCTGTGATCATCCAAAAACAAAATTATTTATTTATTTGTTTGTTTTAAATACTTTTGGGTGTTTATTTTGCAGGAGGATAATCACAGTTACTACACATCTCACTGCTACCAGCCCCATGCTGGAGGGAGTGCATTCTGGGTAGACCTTGACGATCCCGCCATATCACACGACGTGGAAGCGCCCGAGATTCTGGCAACACGTGAAAGAAAAGGAACGGTGAGTCGTCGTATTTCTGTTGAACAAAAAACACCTGCTTTACGGCTGATTTACATACCTGCGATATGTTGTGATGGCAGACTTTTTGACATCACGAAACCAGCCGGCCGTTGACATTTGTAAGTGGGGGGGGGGGGGGGGGGGGTGGGTGGGGGGGGGGGACTGGACACCACATGACACTAGGGGGCACTGTTCGTGATGTATGCCCCTTACATCATTAACCTTACATCACAACACTGCATTTAAAGCTTTTGTACTTTTCTTCCATGACTAAACTACTATGCATCTAAGGAAAAAAATTTTGCCAGTTAAGGCCAAAAAAAAAATAAGTCGGTCTCTGGTCAGCGCGCGCGTCGATTTTAATCATGCGCGTCAATCTTTTTTTTTCCAAAATGTTCCGCGGTAGCTCCAACAGCGCCCTCTATTGCCGCACCTCCTCAATTTTACCAAAGAGCACCAAGGAATGGGAAATTGCACCAAGGCAAATGATCGAGAGCACCAAGGCAAATTATGGAGGACACCAATGTACATGAGGACACCAAATAGCAAAATAGTACCCCACCTTGTCTGTACAATCCAAGCTTGAAAAAAAAAAAAAAGCCAAAAAAAAAAAAAAAAAAAAAGCCGTGACCCCGCGTCAATTCCGGAACTTTGGTCTGACCAGAGACCAAATATTTTTTTTTTTTGGCCTAAACCACAATTTTTCGTGGTTTTGTCACTGGCATACTGTGGGGAATGTGGATCTCACATTGAAATGTTAAGATGCATGTGGGTTTTTGTGGGCTTTTGAAATAACCACACAAAATTGGTGATATGAACAGCTAGTTTTTCCAAGCTGCATGCATATCCAGTACATTATGCACCATTTCTACGTGATAGTAATTGCAGTTTCTATAAAGCTCATCAATTTATCGGTGACTGCCTCTATGTTCCAACACCCCTATATGCACTGACACCCCTATGTTCGGACACCCGTTTGTTCCGACAACCCGCACATAAGATTGTGTTACTCCCGGTTGGGGTTAGGGTTAGGAATAGGAAAACGTGTTGAAGTCGGAGCATAGGGGTGTCGGAACATAGAGGTGAAACCAATTTAATTATCACTTGACCTGGCAGTGTTACTGTCTTATTGAAACCAGCACATTCTAGTTTTTTATCCGCACAGAATCCCATTATTAAATGCTTTGTAAATCGATCAGGTCTCCTAGCTTTGCGTGGTTCGAGGTTCACACTTTGAAGTTGAATGCATGCACAACGTTGCTGCATTTTCTTGTGTGCACTGCACATAATCGTCACCGTTTTCACGAAGGGGAAAATTTCATGAAAATCATCTGTTTTTTTGAAATTTGTTCTGTGGGTGAAAATGAATAAATACATCAATATCTACAACCTGTTGAGGCTGTACTTTCAAAAAAATTAATTAGAATCCCACTTTAAAAGTGCCGTTTTGCATTTTCACGAAGGGGCGAATTTTCGCACTCTATGGTTTTAAACTTTCAGTACATATAAATACATTGTAATACAGTGAAGCATTATCATGAAGGGGCGAATTTCAGGCACGTGCAATGAAAAGTTTTCACGAAGGGGCGATCCCGCACGCGCAGTGGGGCAAAATCTGCGCGTACTGTACAAAAAATGCATTGACTCAGACCGCAGAAGGGCGAAATCTGCGCGTACTCACTTTAGCGTTTTCACGAAGGGGGAATGTGCTAATTTGTCGTGTTTTTTTTTCGTTTTAACGAACAGCCACTTCTCTTAATTGATTAATTCTGCAAAACTAATCACCTGTTTTTCTTAAAGTTTTCTACATTAAGGAAGATTAGAATCTCTTCCTTCCTCTGATACCTAAATCTTGTATATTTTATGAATCTTTAAGTTTCAAATTGTTAAATGAAAAAAGGGACCAACTTTAAACACGATTATCTCGAATGTTTGTTCAGACAGTGAAATAGTAAATTGGCTTCTTCGTGAAAACGGTGACGATAAGTGATACGAAGGGCAGTAAATTGGAGTTCCTGTATTGATTGTAAGTTCATTTTCCTCACCCCAAGGACGTGACTAGAATATAACCTCAAATCCCAGAGCAAACACTGTACCTGTACACTATCAATGAAAAACCACTATTGCGCATGCTATTGTACATTAAGCACAAACTGCCCTGTTCTGAACCGCAGCCAATTGTTGCTTTCACCGTTGAAGGCCAAACTCCATACTTTAAGGCCAAAATAGTGCCACTTTGTCACATCACTTCATCACATCAATTCATCAAATCTCTTTGTGTTCCAACTTTCATAATTTTTGAACTAAAGATGGTATCAGCATGAGGTTTTCACAGCAGTAATGCTGAGATTGTGCTCTTTTCAAATCTGTAAAAAAAAAAAAAAAAAGACAAGGTTCGACAAACGACTCATTTAGCTTGATTGCATCACACATATTCATCCCGCCTTTTTCAAGCTTAGCTAATTTGCATGGAAGATTGAAACATAAAATGTTAAACATTTGCTGCGGTCACGTTCCTGGGCCAGCTGTATAATCACATCAGAGTTATAGAAAATGATAGCCAAATCACTGAGTTGTAAACTACTCCGGATTGGTGCTAAGAAAGCCACAATAGACTGGGCTTGGATCTAGTAATGTTTTGTCCCCAAATAAAACTTGTAGCCTCATTGATTCTATAGGCATGTCCTTCTGGTTTGAAAATCACAATTCGTCTTGGTTTACAATTAAGCCATTTTCTCTTCACTGTCGTACTTTATTTTTCACAAATTATGAAGTATAATTATGCTGTAAATGTATGCCGAGGTGTGCAGTACTGAGGGATTCAGGCGTGCGATTATTCGCACTTCTCTGGAAGCATTTAAGCGTGTGATGGCAGGGGGTGTGATCACACGCCTCAAAACAGAAGGACTGTATAGGTCAGAATAGCTGATTCAATGACTCGAGCCAAACTGATTGTTTGAGATCTTTTGCTCAAAAAAATTGGTTAAAGTGTTTAGAAATTGCCTCAGATCGCACCACAGAGCGTCTTGAATCCAAACTTTTTGGGGCCCGCCGAACATTAGTTCTGGTCCAGGTATGTCTCTCCAGGTATGTCTCTCCCCCCCCCCCCCCCCCCACTTTTGAGAAACGATTGACACCCTTAGTTGGTTGGTATACTGTTCAAAACATAAACAAAACACAAAAGTGTAATTTTTGCTAAGATTGTGTGTTTGTTTGAATATACACAAGTTGGCCTGTTTGAAATCAAAAATCGATTTGGGTCTACACGATTCCCTCCTGATCTGTTCGGCAACTCTGGAATGCTGGGGGCGGGGGGGGGGGGGGGGGATAAAAAAGACAGCTTTCTTTGAATTGTCCTGGAACCTTCCCCTTCCCTTAACCCTAACCGCCCTGAATCCTCCAAAATCCTTTTTGCAAATTGGAGGATTTTGCAGGATTGAGGTTACATGGCAAAAGTGCGTAGCTGATTTCGGAGTACGCACTGTGTCAAGGTCTTGGGTCGGACCTTGTGTTGTTTATGCTCAGCCTTGCATAAATTTAGTCCTTGATTATACCTGAAATCCTCCACACTGCTCCAGGATGTCACTGCCTCTGCCTCAGCCTATTGACAGACATAGCCGGAGGATTTTGCAGGATTCATGCAGTGGTCATCCCTTCATGGACCATATTCAAGAAATAACGGAGGAATTTGCAGGATTGAGGCTATATGCTATTTTTCCATGAGGCCAATTGGAGGATTTTGCAGGATTGAGGCTACATCCTAGCAAAAAGGCCTAGGGAGTTAGGGTTAAAGGCGGTCAGTATAGAGGATTATAGCTTGTCAGTCAGTTGAGTACAGTACCAATTGATTCAACAAGACTATTGATAGGTAACGAAAAAATCAATAAGTCTCTAAGCGAAGCCTTCACACTCTGATCAATGCTGGATAATTTATTTTGTCCATTGTCCGCCTCAAAGCCAGCGCACATAAGAGCTATTTGCTTAGCAAGCAGTCATTCAAGGCCATTTGTTCAGCACGTAGCTCACAATTAGACATCACCGTGTGCGGTTATTTTTTCCTGAGTTTTTTTGCCTCGCGAGTCAGCGAGGCAAATATCTATCCTTGAGGCAAACGTACGGTCAACCTGATCTACTTGCTGAGCTAAAAAATTACCATTAATTAAAATAATCTGATAATAATGTCACATGACTTCTTCCATTCACTTTTCTATTCTTTGCAAACTTTTTCTCATACCTTCTCAATACCCTTAAGTGGCAGAAAGTTACGAGAAAAAAATAAGGACCGGCCACCACTCCAGCATTGCAGTAGCGGAGTTTAATAGTGCCATTATCAGGGGCTGCTTGTTATTAGCGCCCTTGCTAGCAAATACTTTCAAGATAATGATAATTTGTTTCTTTTCATATTGATGGATTCATCTTCAATTATTTGTGTTTCTGGGAGCAAGGCTCAGATAAGACGATTTTTAGGTGTGGGGATTTTTAAAAAAAAACCTGCTTCTAGGAAACTTAAAGGTAAGAGTACATCATTTAGAGCTATCCAAAAAGTAAAGTCTGCCAAGTGGGGGAGAGCCATAGGGAGAAAGCAGGCCAACCACTGGACAACGGCCTCAAAACCGACAATGATAATGATGATTTGTGGCTTCAAATGAAAAATAAATGCACAAATGACATGATGTACTCTACCTTTAAACCCACCTCACAATTCAGTATCAGGTGCTTCCAGTAGTTCACTGCAACCCTTGCAGGAATCAACCAGGTTCATCTTCATCCTTGTTGATATTAGTTATGCCAGCTCTCCCAGCAAAACAGCCAGAAGGCACTTTTTTTTGAGAGGGCCAAGATTTTCATAAATAATAAGTATTATGGTATTTCCTGTTTGTTCAAGAATTAATCAACCCATTCATGTCTTTTTTTTCTTGTTTCAGAATGTTCATCTGAATTTTATATTTCCTTTCTATGGACATGATGTCAGGTCCCTCGTTATTACTACAGGAGGTAGGTGGCTCAGTTTTCTTTTTGCAAAGATTGACAATCTATATAAAGGGATGGATAGCTCAATTTCCCCCGAAATATCAATCCGTATTCTAGGTGGGTCACGTGTCATTGCATTTTGAAGAAGGATCTTTGAATACAAGCCTAAAATAGTGGCCAAACTGAAATTTCTGTGTAGTGCTGACAACACTTCAAAACGTCATCAACGTCAAACTTTCCATTTTCACTTTTCCATCCGTGGCGTTTTCTGAGCTGAATTATTAAATGAAAAATAGAATTAGCTGTTGCAAACTGCTTACCAACTAAAAGGACCTTTGGTATAAATGCAAAAAAATAGTTAGTGGCCTGACGTTTCGACCCTAGCAGAGTCTTTCTCGAAGGCTAAATGACAAGACTATAAACATAAACAGGTACATGTATACATTACTGATGTTTTTTTGTTACATCAGTTATGTTTTTTGTTACATCAGTAATGTATACATGTACCTGTTTATGTTTATAGTCTTGTCATTTAGCCTTCGAGAAAGACTCTGCTAGGGTCGAAACATCAGGCCACTAACTATTTTTTTGCTTTTTTTTCTGAATTATTAAAGGTAGAAACTACATAAGGCTATCCATTAATTGTCATTTGAACAGGACCTGTCATTTCCTAGAAATAAAGCGAAACTGGAGCCTGATACGATGCATGCATCCTACATAAAGAAATTTCTAAACTACTGTGCACTGTGCCCAACTTGTTAACGTGCAAAATGATATGAGCCTTAGAGACGCCTGTCTATTACTATTAGTAGGGCAGACGGGCGTCAGGCCCATATGGTTTTTCACGTAAAAGAGTCCGGGTACAGTGCACGACCATTGAGAAATTACTGTGTGGAGGAGCCTTTTTTTTCATGTTAATATTGGGGGGGGGGGGGCAACAGGGGCCATGCCGCCCCCAAACTTTTTTCATGAATCCGAGGAATGAAGGCACCATTTTTGTCAAAAATTTGGGATGTTGTTAGTCACCTTGCACATTAGACACTGTGAACATTCTTGAATTCTTCTTTGACTCCTCTTCAATTTTGTTAATTTGTACAAAATATATTTCTGATTTGCCTGTTCGGTTCAGTTCAGATTGTTATAAGTTTCAGATTGCAAGTGTTGATTTTGTTCCTACAAAACGAAGCATTTATGGATGCTCAGAAGGCAAACACAAAGAATTTTCCAACAGAATACTTTTTTGCTTGGATAAGTAGGAGCCGACAATTTTTGACAAAAAGTTATGCATTCAAAATAGGAAGAAGCTTTACTGAGTTTTACTCAAGACATCAATCAGAAGTCAACAACAAGTCAACCACGAGTCAGTCACAAGTCAATCACAAGTCGATCGCAAGTCAATCACAAGTCGATCACAAGTCAATCACAAGTCAATCACAAGTCGATCACAAGTCGATCACAAGTCAATCACAAGTCGATCGCAAGTCGATCACAAGTCGATCGAAAGCTATGGTGGCTTTTTAGTGTGCGTGCATTTTGAATAGTTTACACACCTCTCCAGAGAATAACAATCTGCTGTGCTGCAGCACCTCTTGATTTCCCAACAATCTCCTTAAAGTGAAAATATTTCTCATGGAATTTTGGAAATGTCTCAGGGAAATATTAGGGAAAACTCAAGGAATTTATGTACATTTTTTACAGAGCATATTTACTCAGCAGCCAAAACTGCGTATGAATGACCATTACTTTTCCAAACAATCTTGTGTGGGCTCCATAGGGGGGGGGGGGGGGGGGGTTCTACCCGATGTTCCCCAATACCTACATGTATGTTCCCCAATACCGATGTTCCCCGAAATCCTTAGGGTTAGGGTTAGGGCTAGGGCTATGGGGTTAGGGTTATAGGGTAAAGATTTTGGGGAATATCGATATTGGGGAACATAGGTATGCACCCCTCCATGGTGTTGAACTGTTCTCTATGAAAGAGGGTTTTCACTTTCACTCATTCTCTTCCTCTTTCCTGTGAAAAGGATTCATTTATGCCGGAGCCTACATCCACAGACACCTAGCAGCCACTCAATACATTGCACCGTTGATGGGCAACTTCTGCCCGTCAGACTTGCCAGCTGCAGGGGTCAGGTTTTACGACAACGGTAAGCGAAAGAAGTCATCAGTACATCGGGGTGATGTAAATCGAAAGTAGGTTTTGCCCTTCACTGACGTATAGACATCAGATTCGAACCAGCCAACTGGTACCGCAAGCTCGGTGGTTGAGTGGTAAGATGTCTGCACTAAGCAGGAGGTCGTCGGTTCGAGTCCCACCCGAGTGATTTTCTTTCCAGCTTTCACTCGGGAGATAACACACTGAGTGTTCAGTGTTTATACGTCAGTGAAAGGCACAAACCTAATATTGAAGTCATCAGTGTTGCGGTCACTCGTATATTTTTTATAACAACAGCATTGTCTGTCTTCTATCGTTATCGTTTTTTCTGTTTTGATTGACAAACTGCTACATTACTTTAAACTTTTATGAATTTCTATGTATTTTTGAATGTAATTCAGCTCTAGGGCTGTGATGTTTGAATTTTTAATAAACCAATTAAAATAATGTAACGTCGACCGAATCCTGGGTTAATGTCACATGCCAGACAAATGAAACCACAGACACTATTCTTCAGGGTTTCGGGGCTCCAGGCCATTTATTCTTGCCACTTTCTTTACACGAGGCTTTCTCTTGATACAACTCACAACAAAAAGAACGTTATACAAAATGTCACACCATGGCGCTATAAACACAGCTCCATGGTCGCACTACTGATGAGTCGGCGCAGTCCGGCAACGGGTCTCCCTGGCCAAGCGCAGGGGTCCTGACGCTACAGTTGCACCGTGGGTCCGTGCTGGCGCCCTCTGCCGACGGCCCGGCACCGACGTTACAGTAATAATAGTGTAGCCATATGAAGGGAGGCACTCCATGTGCACGTACTATTTTAAGCATGTATGGCGCAAACTAGTAGTACAAACTACTATCGTTTTATATGGGCACAATCCTATTGCATCCTGTGGAGAGAAGACAATGAGATGAAGTTACAGTTTAAGAGGTGGGGGGAAAATCTCAGAAGAATGTCCTTGGGAAAAAAACCACAGAATCGGGCAGGGACTAAAAACCCACGTATTAGCCGAGGAGAGGGATTCATACCAGAGTCACAGCGGTGAAAGGTGAGGAAAGTACCACTACACCAACCTTTAATACTCTCCTTTGTACTAGTTTTGCAGACAAGTACTTTTACTGAGTACCGAGCTCTGCTGGTAAGTTAACCGAGTATGAGTACTTGTACTTCCGAGTACAAGGACAGGCCTCCAAGTACGAGTACTCGTACTTCCGAGTACGAGTGCGAGTACTTTTATTCCGAGTAAGAGTACGAGTATGAGTACTTCTATTTCCAAATACAGCCATACGGCAAATGATTCATTGTTCGTAATTGGGTCAGGCCCAGTCAGACCGATATTCAGACCCACTCACGGCTCGCTGTTAAATGTGTTTGTCCGGACGTGCACAGAGGAAAATCAGGAAACTTTGATTTATCCGCAAGCCAATCAACCATTTTAAAATAAAAGTATCTACAAAATAAAGCCGTGGTAAGTCAAGCTATATTTCGAGTACTGCTATTTGAATACGAGTACTTCGATGATCGAGTACAATGTTCCCATGTCGAGTACTAGTACTTTGATATCCGTGCACGGGTACGAGTACTCTTAAAAAAGTACATGAGTAGTACCATTTTTTTTTTCGAGTATACTGCTGTTTGATTACAAGTACTTTGATGATCGAGTACAATTTCGACACGTCGAGTACAAGTATTTTTCGAGTACCGAGTACGAGTACCGAGTACGAGTACCGAGTACGAGTACCGAGTACGAGTACCGAGTACGAGTACCGAGTACGAGTACCGAGTACGAGTACCTAGTACGAGCACTATGTGGAGGGAGCCCATTCGGCATGTATTGCTTACCTATATTTAGTTCAAGTGCAGTTTACCGTATCTTTTGAACATTTCAATGAAACCAACTAAAAAGCAATTGGAAGACCAGTTGTTCTTCTCAGCAATACATTTAACACGATTTTGAATACTATACCCCCACTTTTCTAAAAAAAATATGTGCGATTCGACCGGTTTTTGTGGAACAACCACTAAACTTTCAAGTTTGTCTTTTGAAGCCGCGACGTCAAATGACACACACATCTATCAATACGTATTCCTGCCTACGAATTGGCCGAGCATTTTGGCGGCAACCCACAAACGATGATTGGCTGCCTACAATCCCAACGCTGATTGGCTGCCTAGAATCCAGACTGCTGCTATAAAAAGGCGAGATATTACTATTACGTCCGCAATCGTGAGATATTAAACGGCAAGCATGGAAATTTGCACACGGCACCAAACCAATATTTTCCGTTGAGTATAATGGATTTTATCATTTACGTGATACAATTTCGTAATTAACACATGTGTTAAAGGGAATGTACATCATTGGCTTTTGCTGTAATTTTCAGAAATGAACTATTTGAGGGGTTAGTATAATAGATCAAATATTGTTACACTGACGTGTTTGAAGTTTCGTGTTTGAAAATGCTGGAAAAACCAAGAAAAACACAACTGTTTATGTAGTCTGGTTCCCCGACTCCACTAAAGATAAAATGGATCAATTTTAGATTTCGGAAAATTGTAAGATAAGGGAACCAGTCTAGCTGGCCTGCACCCGTTCATGAACATGTAACCTATAGCAAACACAATTTGGACTGAAAAAAATGTAAATTTGGAGCAGTAGTTGAAAAATAGTTAGGTTTTTCCAACGGTGGTCGGACGACCACCGTTGGAAATGTATACAAAAATACCATTTTCTTGAAAATGACTTCACACCAGGTGCCATAATTTTACAGGATGCTTTAGACTGTCATTTACCAACATCCTAGTAAGGTATTTCGTAAAAACTTGGTAGTTTTATTTTTCGATGTTTGCAAATGTTGTATATTCCCTTTAATGGGAAGTGTCTTCACTAGCTGCCAAAGACACGTTGTTTAATTACTTCAAACCCTAGCCAAGAATTCCAAAATCTGCCTAACATACATTTAAACTATAATAATTATAGTTATGCATTGTGTCCTTGCATCTAAGCCCTTAACGGTAGGAAAGGGAGAGTTTGGGGAGACCACTAGGAGCTAGGCCCCTTTGAACGCATTCCCGACACAACAAACTGGATAGTGCTGACTCTGAACAGGGATTGTAAGGGGGGAGGTAATACAATTTTTGCAGACGGAGTCGTTTGTAAAGTATTATGCTTACGTAATGAGGCATTTTGTGCAAAAGTATTGTGTTCCCTTCCCAGTCGGTACCCACAAAAAGGTTGGGCTCCGAGGTACATTGTAATCCCTCAAGGTTACATTTTTTTGTGTGTGAGACAAACATTCCGCAAACTGGATTGCGTTGCGACACATTAACAAACTGGATATACAGGGCGAGTCCAAAAAAAGCGGAACCCAAACCCTCAAAATTATATTTCTTAGTTAAAAAAATATATAGCACCAAAACAAGTAATGAATGGAAAGCCAATTACATAAAGCTACTTATATTTGAAAAAATTACTGAAATTTCTCAATCCGTTCAAAGAAAATCACCATTTAAACACCATGACCCTGAAACCTCTTTCGTCCAAATATGCGATTTCAAGAATCGTCATCACAGTTGTCTTCAAATATCACCAGCGATAAAACCTCAGTTCAAAAGTTAAAAATATTCAACAAAGTCCTTTTGAAGGCCCGTCTTTTAAAAAAATGTTGATTTTATAAATCACATCATTGCCTAGGGGGTGTGCAAAATCGTATTGAAATTGGATGATTCAGGACTGTTAGGGATAGCTATATAGCCTATTAAAGACTGCAGTTTTTGACAGTTGTTGAAACAAGTATTCTGTGTCGTTTTACTTTGTAAACTTTGAACAGGGATTGTAAGGGGGGGGGGGTTTAATGCAATTTTTGTAATCGGAGTCGTTTGGTAAAGTAATATGGTAACGTAATGAGGCATTTTGTGCAAAAGTATTGTGTTCCCAGTCTACCCACAAGGTTCGACTCCAAGGTACATTGTAATCTCTCAAGGCTACTTTTGTGTGTGTGAGAAGTTTCGCAAACTATGTGTTGAAAAGGGATTGATGAGGGGCTTTAGTTAAATACATTAGTCTTTTGTAAAGTAATGAGGTGCCGGTATCTTGTGCAATTAGCATTGTGTCCCTGTAGACATACCCACCAGTAAACGTTAGGCTCTATTACCGGTAGGTATTGTATTCCTTCAAGGCTCATTTTTTTTTGGGTGAGTGACGTTTCGCTTCACTCAGGTACTCTCGGAAGTATGCATCCAAGGTTCATACATATTCCGCTGCATTTTTTTTCCATTAGTAACTGGGGCTAAATTGGCTGATACAATATGTAAATATACACATGAAAAAAAATGTGTTGTGTAAGTTTTTGAACCATCTTTAAAGCTATAGTCCATCAATTGCAGCCATCCGAAAAGTAACTGGCGTAATTACTGTTGAAAAACAAACTTGGTTGAAAGATAGTAAGGGGACTAAACTCCCTGTGAAATTATTCTTTCTGGAAAGCTGTCATTTTGAAGTAATCCACGAAAGAAGGCATTTCCAGCGGTGATTCTTAAGAAGCACCGTAGGAAAATTTAAATTAGTAGTTCGTTTTGTTATTCAGCGCAGCGCGCACAAGTATTGGAACGACGCACACGCGCGTGCGGTTGTTATAATTCGTCGGATCAGTGCGCGACGCCGCGTATAGCTGCAATTCAAAACAATTCAAAACATGATTCAGTAACTTTTGATTTGAAATTGAGATCTTAGAATGCTGCTTTTCTCAGAATGTACAGCTGAAGCTTAGCTGAAACTTCATCAGGTTAGTTGCTCAGTATCCTTCATTAGATTTTGAACACTTTTGTTGCTTCAAACGAACAAAATGCACTAATTACAAATGATGGACTATAGCTTTAATAGTAGAAATGCGCACTTTATCCATTCCCCCCCCCCCAATGTAAACTTTTCCCATAGCTATTATGTAAAGGGTCAAACAGTTCAAGCTTGGAACTTCAATCGCAGC